AAGTTAGTTGTGCCGAATATTTAAGTATTTAAAGGTTAATAAAAAGCATATCGATATTAACTCATTTTTTAGATCGTGCTAAATAATGTAAATTGACTCAAAAGAAATAATTTTGGACTAGTCATATTCGAGTTATCTTGATTAGAAAAAAGATATTCTAAATCTTATATTTTATTAATAAAAATATATATAATAATTTCATATATATAACATAGTAAAATAAAAGAATGGAGGCGTTGGAATTTGAAACAGTAAACTCAATCACTTTTTTTTAATTAATAAATTCAATTAATCATTTTAACTGTCCCATCATTGATTAGTCCCATGAATTGAAATAAAGAAAAGGTTGATAAACAAGTTGAATTCTCAAGCCTAACGTGTGGAGTATGGTGGTTTGTATTCATGGTTAATGATAAGTGAATATTATATATAAAAATGTGTGAGAAGCGTTTTTTTTTTTTTTCTTTTTTTACAATGTGTCCAATTCTTGACTAATCCTTGAGTCTGTGATCCGGCCCCTCTTCACACAGTCCAGTTAATCGGAGGATGTGTCTCCAACTAGTCAGGGTCCGAGCCCTCCCCACCTGATCTGCCAAAGTGCCAAGCAAGCCAATCCAAGTTGCACCTTGCCTTCCAAGGATAATCCTTGCCTTCCAAGATTTCTCTTGCCTTCCAAGAATAAATTTTTGCCTTCCAAGAGCCCTATGAATCGAACTCACGACCTCTGATATGCCAGATTTGACAAAGTCCGTCCTTTACCAGTGGAGAAACGCCCCGGGGGGCAAAGTGTTTTTGATTCTCTTTACATATACACGTGAACACACACATATTCAAAAGGGGATATTATGTTGTTTTACAAGTCATTTTTAGATTTATTTAGTATCAAATTGAGGTAAGAGTATATCGTGTAAAGTGATAAATTCTTATTTCTTAATATTTATATAATTTTTGGCATGAAATGCTATGAGGCATTCGGGTTGAACTGTATGTTAAATCCTTAAGGATGGACCGTTAGGTCAAAAATGTTAAATCCTATAGGATGAACCGTTTGGTAAAAGATGTTAAATTTTACGGGATATGGGGATTTTTAAGAAATTTCTTGAGCTCTAAATTTAAGAAATGTTGGAATGTTATATCGGTTTTATATTTATATCATGTGAATAAGAATGTGTGTGTATTTTTAATGAATGTTTTCAAAATACTCACTCTTACAATACTTTTTAGATGAGAACGGGTCGTTTGGATACGTGGCAGATTTACCGAGTGATGTTTATGGGGTCGCCAAGTAAATTTTATAGGAAAGATAATCATCAAACTTTTATTTGAAGAACATCTTCAAATTGAATTTTGTGCATATTGTTTAATAGCTATTTTTATGCATTTTCAACACTTAATGAAAATGATATTTTCCCTTAAATTAGAAAAAGAAAATTTAGTAACACCTCGAGCCTATTTTTTATAAAAGAATAAAATAATGAAGATGAAAAAGATCTCGAGTCGTTACAAACGCTACCGTCATATCCATCCCACTAGATCTATCGTCAATCCAACAAAACTCATCTCCACTGTCATATCCATCACCACCACCATCTCCACCAACAAAAATCATAGCCAAAACATACAAACCATTGCCACCACGATTCACTATGCGAGGTAGCTCAATGCGCGACTTTTCTGCGCAATGGTGATGTTGACGCTGTAGCAAAGAAGCCTTGTCGGCAACGACGCACCGCCTTGTGCCATTTTGCTCCGACATCTAGGTGTTTGGTGACGACAGTGAAGTAGAGAGAAAAAGAGGTACAATAGAGTATATAGAGAGAATGAATTGAGGAGAAGGAAATGAATATTAAGGTTTAGGGTTTGGTATTATTATTTAATATTAAAATATTATCTAATCATCTGATTTTTGTATATATAAATTATAATTCTGATTTTTGAAATGCATTCTTTAAAAATAGGGCTCTATGTAATTTCCAAAAAAATAAAAAATTGTTAACGCTCTACTAAAGACGAAATGGGCTACCACGTTGGCATTTTGGGCTGTGAGTACCTGAAAACATCAGATTTCGCCCATCTAAACTTAAATAAAAACTTCCATTTCAGGCCTAGTCAGGTCAGCCCAGAAACTAAATACATTTTTTCTTTTTCTCACTTCTGATATTTACCGTAATTAAAGCAGCTATTTCCATCCTCGCCTTTTACATATGCATCCTTTTTAAAAAAAATAAATAATAATAATAATAATAATAATAAATTATATTACTTTTTTAACCTCAAGTAAATTTACTTATATAGTCAAAAATAAAATCAAGTAAAATATATCTTTCTAAATCTATCCACTTCAGGGTAGGACGGCCATCACTTTATATATCTATATATCCACACCAAGACCTAAGGCTGTGATCTGCAAAGAAAAGGTTCTTTTAAGAGTCATGGCTTCTCATGTCCACTTATGGATGTCAAACGGGTCGAGCGGCTCGTTGGCCTCGATCCCACGAGCGGCTCGTGCGTCTTGTGCCCACGAGCCGTGGGCTCGTCCAAAAAATTGAAATTTAAAAAAAAAAAGGTGTAAAAAATGTGAAAAAAAAAAATTAAAAAAACACGAGCTTGCGAGCGGCTCATGGGCTCGGTTCGGCTCGGCCCCCCAGCTCGTGGGCTGAGCTCGCCACGAGCCCGAGCTGAACTCGTGGATTAAAGGGCCGAGCTGGCTCGGCTCGGCCCATTGCCAAGTTCTTGGGTTAAAGGGCCGAGCCGAGTATGTCCACCAAAGCCACCATTGCCCTTGGCTCTTCAAATTTGAATGCAAAGATCACCATTTTCTGCAATGGAGGAAATTTTGAGGACATAAACTTTCTCATCATATCATCAACATATATTCATATTACTGTTGCTATCACAAGTCTTAGTTGCATACCAAAATGTTTAGGTAAAGACTAATTTAATCATTCCAATGCTTTTTCAAAATTTTCTGCTTTATCTACCCGCTAAATTATTATTCAGTGATAATGTAGCAGATTTTTGTATTTTTTTTTTTCAACACAATATTTTGTAAACGTTTTAATCTTTTCCGGCATTCGAGCTTTTGCAAAAGCCACGCAGTCATAAAATTGCAACTTTTGGATATTTCCTCACTCTAAAATGTGGATTTTCTGTTGAAAAATATCCATTTTGTATGTAACTCATCCGAGGATTGTATGCAATTTTAATGTGATTCTTTCTTTTCTTTTTTAAAATTTTGTATTTCCATTGAATGCATATTTTTTTTGTTTTGATTATTAAGGTTATCTTTCAGAACTTCCCAGAAGAACTAAAACTAGGCAAAAGCACTTTTGTTAACTTTAAAAAAATTGTGATTTTTATAAAATAATTGCTTAGTAATAAACAAAGACAGCTCATGCGCTTGATTTAACTGACTGCATTTCTTATTCTTTTTGTCTTCATCAAGATCTTTAATTTAATTATGTGTAGTTCAGTATATTGATAGTTTGTCCATTCTTGTCTCAGTGTATGGTAGCTTCCTGATAACTTGTAAATTATTGAGATATAGGAAATTTTGAAGGCAGAAAATGGTGATTTTTGTTTCGGGAGTATGGTTTTAAATGAATGAATTTCATAAGGTTAGTATTGAAATAAACGTGGCTGAATATAGTTTTTTATAAAATTTAAATTTTAATAAGGTTGAATTTAGAAAACAGTAGATTTATAAAAATTGTGATCGGAAATAGCGATTGTCTAACTTTTAACATATTTTTATCTTTTGTAATAAGACTACAAATGTCATTACTTATCACTTTGTTTTATTCACCAACTGATCTTTCTTTATGTCATCAACTTTTTTGATCTTTCAATATTAAATAAACATTAAAATTCCATCCACTTTCTTCCGACACTTTGCGAGGCACGTGTTTTGGTATAACGAATATTAGAAATTTGTAATTTGCACGTAATGAACAAACAATAAATAATAATTTGGTACCATTGACTCGATTGTGATTAAGCCCTCTTGAGATGTTATGTTCGTTGATGAAGACAGTAGTCTTTAACATTCACTGTATTTTGTAGCACATCAAATCTAATATCATCCTCTTTCATGTTGATGCATTCATACGTCAGATGCACGTGGGCCTCAAAATATATGTCTGGTTTTGTGCACAAACATACGTGCTTGAAACGTAAAATATTTTACATGAAAAGAGTTAGAGCATGATAATAGACGAAAGACTTGTGTTTGGATTTTCATTAAAAGTGACAATTAGTTCGAGATTCAAAGGATAAAAAATTTATTGATCTGTGAAGACTATCGAATACCAAATTTGTTACCTATCCTAATCGGTTGTACCCCTCTGAACTTAAATTGGTAGCATTTTTAGGGCATTGCTATTTTGATGAGAGCAATAAAACATATGGTATGTTGACACTTTATATTTGTGTTTAACGTCACTAATGTTAGATAACATTATTTTTATGATAATTACGGTACATCCCATCCACTCCACCCCACCTCACGTCACCTCACCTCACATAAACATGTTAAGTCCTAGTTGATGGACATTATAAAGAGAAATTGAGAGAAAAGAGATGTTTTGAATAGTGATTTTTTGAAAAATCTATAATTAAAAAGTAGTGAAAATATTTTTAATTTATGTATAGAATATTTTATTTTATAATTTTGTGATTGAAAATGAGTATTGAGTAATAAAAAGTTTTAATTTAAAAAGAGGGTCGGAGCTCCTGTTTGGCTCTCATTAAATTTCATTACATTACATTACATTTTATTTTTCTCTCTCATATTTTCAATCCACAATTTTTCATAAAATAATATTACACGTAAATCGAATACTCTTCCTTATTTTTTAACCACTATTTTTATTTAAAAAATATACTATTCCACTCATTTTCATCTCTAGAACGAGGGTTAAGTAACCATTAGGCTCGAGATGCCAAGAAAAACCGCCCCCTACAGCCCTATCAGCCAATGCAATTGCAAACTTTTCTTCCTTGGTGGCCCCATGAGCTCCACGTTTCTATTTATGCACCACATTCTACTACCACATTCTAATTAGGGACAGTTTTCCTTCCATTTTACATTCAATTCTTCTCATAAAATTTCAGAAATCAATGGGAAATCACAAGTTCAGATTATCAGATATGATTCCAGGTGCCTGGTTTTACAAGCTCAAGTACATGAACAGAACCAGAAACCAGAAAAACCACCGTGGCGCCGGCCCAGCACCACCACCTCCGTCGCCCAAACAAAGGCCGCCAGCATCATCTGACCAAAGAAAATCCTACCATTTTACAAGAGACCTCACATTTCACAGTAATTCTCCAACCAAAAGTACTGCAGTGGATTATTCAGAAACACCAAGAATATCATCAAGGAAGAGACGTAGCACGAAGAAAACCAGAGTTTCGGCCGGTTACGGCTGCCGGGTCATTCTTGAATCCGACCGGAACAAACCCAATTATACGTCGGAAGTGTATCGGAATTCAAGTATTGATATCTCATCTGATCGGAGTCTCACTCCAGATGCATTTGATCCCATGGTTTCACGGTCAACTTCCTGCAAAAGCAAAATCCAAAAAGATATCATAATTGATTTTGATGAAAAGCCATTCCATGCAAAATCTGAACTCGATCTCACTCCGATCATTACCAAAGTCCGTGACACTGAAATTCACATGAAAAATGATACGAATTTACCAATCAACATTAACAGAGTTTCAGAGAAATCTGAGGAAAGAAATGCATTTGAATCCCGATCTGTGAAGGCTGTGAAAGATGACACTTTCAGCACTGATTCCAAAGAACAAAGGACGACTTCTTTCAGAAAATCTACAGTGCATTCTCCAGGCGTGAAACTCCGGAATTCTCCAAGAATCAGAAGGAGTATTCCTGGCCGGAAAAGTTTGTCATCAACTACAAGTTCAAGTTCAAGGAAAAGCGCAACGGAGAATTTCGCAGTTGTGAAATCATCCAAGGATCCACGGAGGGATTTTAGAGAATCAATGGTGGAGATGATTGTGGAGAATAATATCAGAGCATCAAAGGATTTGGAAGAACTTCTTGCTTGTTATCTATCATTGAACTCTGATGAATATCATGATCTGATCATCAATGTGTTCAAGCAAATTTGGTTTGACATAATTGCTGATATTCGTCTGAACTAATTTAATTTCTTTCATGTTTTTTTTTTTTTTTTTTTTTTGGTTTGTTTTATCCTTTAATAGAATAGTATAATGTAATTTTATATTTAATTTCTCTTGACATATGAACTTACAATCTATTGAACAAGGAGAATCGTAATTCACGACGTAGTCGAAGACAATTAATAATTAATTTGTCCCCTCGTGGCACCGTAAAGTTCTAGCGAAGTTGTTCAAAAGTTCAAGTCCACAACCACTACATATTCGATCTATACATAACGTTAGCTTTTGATTAAAATATGGATGCATGCAGCTAACGTATATCCAACAACTTAAAATTTATTTTTATATAAAATGGTTTAATGCAACCTGCCAATTCTTCATCCTAGCAGCTTTTATATCTTCTTGGAGTTTATCCTACAAACACATTCACGAACAACTTTTTTTATTAATCAAAAATTAGAAATTTTGCAAAATGCTTTGAGATTTACATATCTTTTGTACACAATGGGAAATTAACAAATGTTATATGTAGAGGTGGCAAATAGGTCGAATAACTCGCGGACTTGATTCGTCCCGGCTCAATCCGTTTTGATCCGAGCTGCGTTTACTTTTTTCTTTTCTTTTTTCTTTTTTGAGACGGCACATTTTTTTGACCTACTTTATTAAATTCTTTAAAAAAAAAAATTGCTTGTTTTTGGGCTTACTTTGTTAATTTTAAAAATTGAGTCTGCTTGATCGGCAATAACACCCACGAAACAAAGAGTCTAAATGAGCGAAGCCTAGGATCTGAACACGAGTCAAGCATAGCTCGTCCCTGGTGTCGAGCGGAGCTTGGGTGTTTAACGACCAAGTCACTTGATTTGATCAACACATTGACACCTCTACTTATACAACGGATAATTAATGAAAACAACAGTAAAAGAACCCTTTTTAAGACAATTTTATGTTGGAATATTTTCTGGCACTATCGTTATGTTTAGGTATTCTTTTTCCAATAAGAAAGAAGAAGAAACTAAAAGTGAAAGGATATACAAAAAGGTAAAATTTTAATTTATGAAAAGATGATAAGATCAACGAAAGTTCTGTAAAAGATTCGAAGTTAACTTTTATGCAAGATTAAAAAATATTAAATTTCAAATTTAGGCAGGAATTAAGATCAAATAAATAAGGTAATCATGGACAAAAGGCTCTTTCACAGTAGATAACTTGATTATAAAGGCGAATGGAGCCTTGGTTGGGGATTACAAAAGTTGTTTATGTGCATTTTGAATCTGCTACAATACTATGAGTGAATTTATAATAATCACTTAATCGAATCTATCAAATCACCTGAACGAGGAACAATTGCCTACAATGGGCCATGCTACAGCAACAGGGAGGTTGACCGCCCCCTATCCGAACCCCACAAATGGGGGGGTCCCATTTTTTTTGCGGGCTCCACCCCCATTTGTGGCTCTCCTGTCAGGGAGGCGGTCAACGGAGCAAAATTTGCCTTGAATTATATGTTCCGATCATGCTGTACTACGTAACCTCGAAATTAGCAAATAAGAACACCCTGTGATATACAATAGGATGTGACCTAGCTATAGTGTGTTGAGTGTCAAGTTGCTATTGCTGTTCCAAAGTGATGAAGTGATTTGTCGAGTCTGAGTAGTAGAGCTAAGCTGACAATCTTTTGGGTAGCTTGTACCTCAAATTGTACTAGGAGAACACTAACATTGTAATATCATTGGTTTATT